TTCTATTCATATGACAATTTAATCGACAACGCCTTAGAGAGTCATTTTCGGTCACAGATACACGCACACTAAAAAAGAAACAATATCTTTCTCAACTCTTTCAAGCCCATGAATTTTGACAGACTTGGTCCACATTAATTTCGATGTGTCTGTGATTCACTTCTTTGTAATGTCCCCACAGGTGGAATACTGTACTTACTTTAAACGTGTATCTGCCTTTAACAGTGTAATTAAAACTGATTTTTTTGGGTCAACTTTACGCTTCTAGCATAAAAACATGCACCCACAACTGGTAAGTGCAGAATTATAATAACAGAGTAATTGAGATGCCAGAGTATCAGTAAGAGGTAAAATTGACAATGGGAAAACATTAGAAAAAGCTAGGACTGAAACAAGCCATACAATTTATTACACAGCAGCCGGTTAGATGACCTGACGAGAGTGCCCTGTGATAACTGCACAGACAGCCACGTAGAAGAAAAATAACAAACACAGAGCAAAAGGAAAATCACGCAAATATGGAATGGCGAGGCGACATCAAATACAACCTTTAAAGATGAAGATCAAGATAAACTTATACAACGTGTTGCCCGGCTCGCTAGCGTAGTTGGCTAAACCAGACTGCGCAGTGACCGGGTGACGAACTCGATGTGGTCGGGGTTTACACCCGGGGGTAGGCAGAAAAGCCACATTTTTCCCAGATTTACGGTATCTATCATGGAATCAAGCCCGAAGGGTTGCGATATCCATAGTACCGAGCCAAAGGGTTAACAACGCATGGCTTCAAGATACTTAAAAAAAATACAACGCGTTATAAAGAGTACAGAGAAGATCTTAACAACCACCCCCTCCCCCGCCCCCTGAAGGGGAGGTTTAACACAATCACACACACACAAACACACACAAACTCAATTCGATGAAGTAACAGAAGCAAGAGAAAAAGAAGTAGCCCTGTAGAAGCTACATTTTAAGAACCTCGAAGTCCAGCCCCGAGTGAGTGGGCTGGTGAAGAACTTTCTTGCAACTAGATCAGAGCATGACCAGCGAACTTTCTGGGGGTCAACTTCGTCGTGTGGAAAATAGGTGAGTATAAAAGAGAAATGCCCTTCTGGAATTTGGGAGAAACTCGGGCGGATAGTGAGCACCGGATGGTTGTCTTGTAGTGGATTCTTTCCTAGGATCAGGAATTCTGGTCTGTTAAAATATTTGCAATGGTATGTAATTTAACATTTTAGAACAAGTAACAAACTCTTCCTTTGCTGAGTGTGTGAGAGGTAAAATAAAATAAATAAATAAATAAATATAATGAAAGAACAGTACAAAGGGACAAAAAAATAATACTAAAAGGTTTAAGTTTAGGTTTAGACAACGGATCAACATCGTGACACAAAGGTAATAACCCATAAGTGCTGCGTTCCACTTCTAACTCAAGTCTGTGTCCTAAGAATCTTAGCGCAGTGCACGAACTCTGCAGCACCGGTCAGGATCCTGAAATACTTTGGGTTGATTATTAATTCCAAAGGACCCTTATCAATCAGTAATTCTCCAGGATGTTGATCCGAGTTTATTTCAGCCAAGAACCGACATCAATCACAGCAACTAGGGACACTTGTCGCAGTCTGCAGCTCCCAGCGTTCCACAAATGTTGCCCGACACACTCTAACTATATGTCTGTCTCGCTGTTTTTCTAAGTAGTGAATGTCGACCAGATATTTTTAGCACTCTCCCCTGCATCATATTTTGTTGTTGTCATAGTTAACACCAGTTTTCTAGTTGATGACACATATACACAGTTTGTAATCTCTCTGCTTCTCTTCGTTAGCCTACGAGCCAGTCTTGGCAAGGTAAAGTACTGTTTAGAACAACCCCCTCCCCCCCCCCCCCCTATCCCCTTTTCACTTTTTTTCTGCGCTCTCTTTATGGGTAATGTAAAATCACAGGAGTAGGTGATGGACTGAACTAGAGAGTAGACAATATATAGTTGTTTCCCTTGGTGTCAAGTTACCCAACGGTAGGCAGAGTATCACACTTTAGTCACAATGGCTACGGTCGCCCCACAAGTATGGCCATTGTCATTATGGTAAGCAATGGCAAACTACCTTTTTCAACAAGCCAAGAATAATCATGTTTTTACATCTAGGTCCTGATTTTGGTAATAGTGTGAGAAGGTGAAACATGACAGACAGTCTACGCTTACAAGCACCACATACTATGATGCTGATGATGATAAGTTGTTCTGCTAGCATTCACATACAAATATTGTTCTCACTAATTTCCCCCAAACACCGTTTTTTCAGTATCTATATTACTCATACATTTAATTCTATGGACACCCACAGTAAGTAATCAAGGCATTTTTAAAGAGGCTAAGACACGAAGACAACTTATCACAAGTATCAGAAAGAAGAGTTTTATATTGTTGTGGGGGCACATTATGAGAATTAAATGATTAAAAAAAGATTGGATATGCTTCGACAGCATGAGAGATTTATGGAAAAAGGAAGATAAAGAAAGAATAAAGTTAACTGAAATATTTCTCTTTTTAAATTTGAAGTAATGCGATTGAACGGTACCATCGCACGAACTGTTACATGCCGCTGAAGGTAGCAAGATGGCGAGAAGTAAAATCGATAACCTCTGTCGTCATTAAAATGTTTACAAGAAACTGAAGTGAAAATAATCCACATTTTCTTGGCACGTCGTAAGAATAATTAAGCTGGAACATGACATGACCACGGACAGGTAGGCGGAAGGTGACACAAGGAAGCTTGAAATTATGCATGGAAGAACAATCTGTACCGGAAATGACAAGCAGTACACGAGAAAAAAGGCTGCCGTTAGACATGAATCCCATCGGCACACAGCATCCAAGAAGAAGGTTTTTCTCTTCTTTCTAATCTTCACTGGTTCATTGTTATTCTTAAAGTGATTTTAAAAAAATCGCAATTGATTTAGTTTTTAACATTATTTACTACCATATTAATCTCAAACATATCGAAGAGTGTCGGCAGAAAGAGACAGTAATGAAAGAGAGCTCCCAGGACTCTCGGGTCAAAAAGAGTAATGACAAACAGTTCCGAGGCAGAAAGAGAGTAATGAAAGACAGCTCGTAGGTCTCCCAGGTTAAAAAAAAAGTAACGAAAGAGAACTCCCAGGTCAGAGAGATCAATGAAAGAGAGCTCCCAGGTCTCCCAGGTCAGAGAGAGCAAAGAGATTTCTCAGGTCAGAGAGAGTAATGAAAGAGAGCTCCCAGTCTCCCGGTTCAGAAAGAGAGTGACAGTGAGCTCCCAGGTTAGAACAAGTAATGAAAGAGAGCTCCCAGGTCAGAGAGATCAATGAAAGAGAGCTCACAGGTCTCCCAGGTCAGAGAGAGTAATGAAAGCGAGCTCCAAGGTCACAGAGAGTAAAGAAGGAGAGATTCCAGGTCTGAGAGGGCAATGAAAGAAAGCTCACAGGTCAGAGAGAGTAATAAAAGAGAGGCACCATGTATCTCAGGTCAGAGGGAGCAATGAAAGAGAGTTCCCAGGTCAGAGAGAGAGAGAGAGAGAGTAACGAAAGAGAGATCCCAGAATAGAGAGAGAACTGAAAGAGAACTCCCAGTTTTCCCCGGTCAGAGAGAGCAATGACAGAGAGCTCCCATGTCTCCCAGATTAGACAAAATTATAAAAGAGAGCTCCTAGGTCAATGAGAGCTATGAAAGGGAGCTCCCAGGTTTAGGGATCAATGAGAGAGAACTTCCAGGTCTCGCAGGTCAAAGTCAGTAATGAAAGAGAGCTCCCAGATCAGTGAAAGCAATAAAAGAGAGCTCCTAGGTCATAGAGAACAATTAAAGAGAACTTCCAGGTCTTCTTGGTCAGACACAGCAATAAAAGAGAGCACCCAGGTCACAGAGAGTAATGAATGAGAAATCCCAGGTCAGGGAGAGCAATGAAAGAAAGCTCACAGGTCAGAAAGAAAGTAATAAAAGAGAGCTCCCATGTCTCCCAGGTTGGAAAGAGCAATGAAAGAGAGATCCTAGGTCAGAGAGAGTAATGAAAGAGAGAATTTTTTTATGAGGATGTCAGAGGCTTGGGCACCGACAAACAGACAAATGGATAGAAGAAAAAAAAGGGAGGTGGGGGGGGGGGAAGGGTTCTAGAGGTTCAGCCCCTATAAAAATTGTGTAGTAGAGGGAGACTCAATAGGCTTAGTTCTTGTTAAAGTGAGCGATAATAATAATAACAATAATACCAAAAGCACAGCACCCAAGCCCCAGGATCTGCCTCCCCATTGTTCGAGGTTCTCTGCAGAATGATAATTTCATCCAATTCCTGAGGTGAAACTCAAAGGGCTACCCAGATTTTACCGACCAAAGAGATGAAATCTGGTTCACAGGATAAACTGTACACGGAGGTCTATGGGGCAGTGAGGAAGACATCAAGTGCACCGTCCTGCATGTGACACACGAGGAATAGATGCATAACTCCCCGTGTGGGTTCTTGGGCTCTATCATAGCGAAAACAAGAATAAGCCCAATGCCTACCCGAAAGCATGTCGTAAGAGTCGACGAATTAGGAGTCAGATCTGCTAAACGGATGCACACGCAACACTCAGGTTCTGGAACAGGACTGCAGTCCAAAAGTGGATGAACAACCAGAACTTTCTCCAGAGTTTGCAGCTGGTGAACACGAAGAAGAAGAGAAGAAGAAGAAGAAACAGATGCAAAGCAAACGTAAATAAAAAGAAACAGAAGAAGAAAAAGAAGAAGAAAACAATTCTCACCAATATGTATGAAGCCCTTTGCAGAAAGTATCTTTCATAAGAACTTTAAGAATCTTAGTCTTTTTTCAACGTCCCTACAAGTATATTCTTCATGTCCCATCTCATATTAACATACAATTATGTATTCATTCACAGTTAAACTTCTATAAGACCATTCTTGGCTGCGGCAGCAAGTACAAACCAAACAACAACGTTGACACTGATCGATCCTTCACCGTCACCAAAGCCAACATCCCCAGTTTAACACACAGCACCCTTGCCAACACAGAAGAAATCTGCAGCCGCCCACCCAAACACAACATCAGCATCAACAACAAAGAAGACACAGAAGATGAGGAACCATATGCTCATGCTATCTCTAACAGAGCTCAACAGGTGTTATCTGTCCCCTCTGTCACCATTAAATATAATCAGAAAGTAGGGGCGAATTTATACAAGCCGGACACTAACCCTCAGGTAAGTGAGCTATTGTATCAACACTTTGAATGAAAACAATAGAAATAGATGCTACAGTCTGCTCCAAAAATCATGCCCAACTTTAACAATGTGTAACTTAGTAACTATTGTGTGAAGTTTTTGAAATTTGGCATGCAAAGTGTTAATAACCATTCCCGCTGCTACAGGAAAAGAACAGCAACTGTGTAAGTGTAAATTACAGAATTATAAGGACACGGGAAGTCTAAGACCACATGAAAAGTTTCTTGTTGATCCATCCTGGAGTTTTCAAAATACTGTAATTCCGACATCGTGACGTTTAAAAAAAAAATCATCAACACATTCTGCTTTTAAACACTCTATTTCACGTTTTACTATCTTATTATAATTATTCATGTAGCAGGTTCTTTGCAGAACATCGCTCTAATAACTGTCTGCCTGAAACTCAGTCTCTCGCTAGCTCTCCTGACTGACTGACTGACTTTCTACCCCACCAGGACATCACACAAGCGATAAACACCCGATGACACAAAGTGCCACCATGCGGATGAGGATCGCAGTGGTGAGGTCCCAGAAACCGCGTTCAGACATTTGGCCATATTTATGGCCTGCCTATATTGCGGCCCCTGGCAAAAGCCAGAGTAGGGCTTCAAATGACAAAAAATTTCGTCCTGAAAAGGACGTCCTGTCTCTTGTACTTTCATATTCTTGAAGTCACTTACATCCTGTGCCCACCTTCGTGCTGGTCGGCTCCTGCCACCCCCCTTCCTGGTGCCATGCCTTGGGTTATTCCTTTTTTCAATCTGCCATGGCGGTTTATAGGACCAAAATATTTCAGCAACCCTGACAAGATGCTGTTTATTAGCCAATCTTCCTTGATGTTCAGATGTCTTAATGTCAGCATTTCTTGTCTTCTTTTTCCATGGTATTTTGAGAAACTTTCTATATCTTTTCAGCCCAGAAGCCCCTATTTTCTTTCTCAAGGACTAGGAGATAGTCCACGACTCACATCCGTATATTTCTACAGGGAAGATGCATGCTCTCAAAATTCTAATTTTGATTTCCTTGCTTAGCTTTGAATGCTGTTTTCATTTTGCATTGCTATGGACATCCTCCTTTAGATTTCTGTCAAAGAGCCCCCTGTGTTATTTATTATACAGCCTAGATATTCAAAGTTTGTGACATTTTCAATTTCTTTGTCATTTATTGTTATATTTGGGTGGCAGCCAGTTTTGTCTGTGGACATTATTTTATTTTATAAAAATTCAAGAATAAATTTTGATCTTCACTGTGTTTTTGGACAGACATGACTAAATTTTCTATTCCATTCACATTGTTCGAGAGAAGGACTGTCATCTGTACAGCGAAGTTCCGGAATAGGGTTGCCACCAATTATGGGCGGTTCATAACTGCCACATCTGTGGTCATTTTTAACATTTCTGCCTTTGTTCTCGGCATATATATTGAACAGGTATGGTGACAATAAATCTCTATATCCGCAGCTTCTATATAACACCAATCTGATCTCATGGCCCTCCAGTGCGTTCTCATCATCCCATAAGTCTCTAAATCCGCAACTTCTATATAACGTCTATCTGATCTCATGGTCCTCAACTGGGATCTGGTCATTCTATAGATCTCTATCTCCGCAGCTTCTATATAATTCCAGAGTATTGTAGGATGAGCAAGATGTAAATGTTTAAATTATCTACACTAGGGCTTCGTGGACTTGGGACTGGCAGAGAACAAGCTAGTTTGGGATTTACTATCTGACAAGGTAAGTACCAGTAGTGTGTATGTGTGGGTGAGAGAGAGAGAGAGAGAGAGAGAAGAGAGAGAACGAACAAACACATTTTATTTGCATAGGGTTAAAAATTGGGCACGCAGGCAGTTTAACATTCTGCCTCTCTAGTATCTTTTCTTTCCTACATAACTTCATTCGTACATATTTTAACATATAATAGCAAACAGCCAGAGAGAGAGAGAGAGAGAGAGAGAGAGAGAGAGAGAGAGAGAGAAAGAGAGAGAGAGAGAGAGATAGAGAAATAGCGTGCGTGTGATTAAAACATATGCAGGTTGAAAAGTATTAAAAACTGACTGTCTCCCTCGAGTGTGTGTCTGTGTCTCCCTGTGAGTGCATACAAGAAAGCACTAACTCCATAGCTCTTTCCAAGAATGATCTAAAATCAGTCCAAATCCGAACTCATGATGTCCATAGCGTAACACAAACGGTTTTACCACTTGACCACGCAGTAGGCATCATAAGCTCGTATGACAACACACAAATTGTTTTCCCATACAACAGTGGCTCCGATACAAAGAAAACATTTGGGAGTGGGTGGTGGTGCCTGTATTAGTTTTTTGTGCGTGTGTGTGGCTATCCTCCGAATTACGGTCCTAAATTATCGAGGCGGAAAATAAACCCCAACAGGGCCTCAGTCACTTGTCAATCGCGCACTTCCGAGGATTATAGCGCCACCGCCGAATTGCGAACATCCGGCGACTTCCGCCATCGCCGAGAGTACCCCCACGCCGCTCAGGCTCTAGTTTCCCGAACCTCCAGTTTACGGCACCTGTCACGCTTACGCTGGCGTAAATTACTTGTAGCGATAGCTTACAGGCAGATATATCATATTACAATGTTGATGTATATACAAATCAGTGAAATCATAGTGACAAAGAGTTTTTATACTTGCCTGACATGACAGTAGTCCTCGTTCAACACCAGGAGAGGCATGGTTATTTTTCTTTCCACCAGGGGAACTCGAGAGTGGACCCAGCCGCATACTAATTGTTGCCAACCAATTTTCAGAAAACAACGGACCCCAAAAGAGCACTATTCAGTACCATCTTTTGGTTTTACCAACGCTGTGTTACGTTTGCACTTATGCACAAGAAAAGGCACATAGAAACAACAGAAGTGTCATGTCTACAATGAATCCTAAATGTAACAAGAAAAGACAGAGTCAGAAACGACATCAGAAAAGAACGAAGGATGGAACCAGTACAAAATTACATCAAGAGGCATCAAATGGTTTCTATATGCTTCAAGACTGCCATAGATAGTGTACTACGGAAAATCCTGTCACTTAGACATAATGGAAGTAGAAAAAGAGGTCGACACCGCAGACAATGGATAGATGAAATATCTGAGGCCTAAAATATCAGCATATAGGAGCACATACCAAGGCGTCCACCAGACGCCTCTTCAAAGCCTGACGCTGAAATGCAGAACAGGACAAGAGAAGAAAAAAAGACAATTATTTGGGAGGAAGTTATGTCCACCTCAAGCTGGTTTATTAGTTTGTTAGCTTGTTGACTGACTAGCTGGTTAGTTGTGTTGTTTGATCGGCTGTTTGGGTGATGACTGTTTTTGGGCAGACCAGTTTTTCACTTTTAAGTCCAATGATCGCTTAAAATACCTGTGTTTGCTTCCCCCTCCTCCTCCCAAGTGCAGTTCGCATAGACTTTCCTCCTGCCATGTCATCAGTGTACCATACTTGTGCCTCTCTGCATTGAACCATCCATACATCCTGATACAATAATCAAACCAAACAAATTAGCAAGCATCTATCCAGCCAGTCTATCAACGAATAAAGCAAATAATCAGGTAGATAGCTAGGTAGGTAGTCTGCGCCCTCCAAGATTGCAGCCCTTAGCATTAACACCTCAAAGATGAGAATCAAACTGGTACAATTCCCAGAAGACACATTCAACCCTGTAACAATTATAATGGGACATACAATTTGCTGAAGTCCGGACTTGCCAGGGAATGCATCAGCTAAAGGCTCTTAGTTTAATTTTTAAGTCAGTTTACTGAGTATATCTCAAAGAAACACGGGCTTTCTTCCGAATAACGTCCCAAATTATCAAGACCGAAAATATTCCCTAACAGAGCTTCAGTCACGTGTCAGTTGTGAACTTCCGGCGACTTAAATTGCGCACTTCAGGCGACTTTCACCACCGCTGAGTATCCCCCACGCCGCTCACGTGGCGTGCATTGGGGAACTAGATGGCTGGGACTCACAAGCAGCAGCTACCGCATCTCCTGCAGCTTCCTTCATTTTATTTGCTCGTGAGTCCCAGCCATCTAGTTTAGCCCCAATTCACGCCGCGTGAGAGGATCGTGGGGGATACTCTCGGCGGTGGCGGTATAGTCCCCGGAAGTACGCACATCTGGGGTAGAGGTATAGTCCATGTGACTGAGGCTCTGTTAGGGTATATTTTCGGCCTCGATAATTTGGGACCGTTATTCGGAAGATAGCCGAAACACGTTTCATATATGTTCTAGTAATCGAAAGAGTATGTGCCCGACTATTAAATGCAATTTTTTTAAGAACAAAATTGTCACGATCAACCAGCACATCCTGGAAGGGGTTGTAATTGGAACTAGGTTATGTGTGCCATATAAAATGGCTTAGCATCGTACGCCACCAAGAGCCTTGAAAAGGACTCCTGCAGTGGTAATGCGATCACAGTACTGTCCCAACCGGCGACGAAGTGGTGAGCCAATGGGCAACCCGGTAAAACGATTTGTACAAGACTAGGTATAATCTGCTTTTCCTTGCATGCCATGACATCCACGTTTAGCATTGAAGCAAACCTGTTCATCAACTTTCCACAGCTCAGGTCCCTTCCCAGTGATGTCGATGATTTAGAACTGAGGTATTATCCTGACGTTAAAGGACTACCCAGGTAATAAAGCTTTATATCAGTCATTAAACAGTCACAATTTACTTTTCTTGTATTCATCCATAGTATTGTTTTCATGTAGCATGTACCCTGCAAAACGTCGCTGTCATTACGACAGACTAGATGGAATAAGACGAATTTCAATGCAATGTCTTCCTATGTTCTGTTTTTAACCGCTGTGCTGGTAAACGCCTGCCTCTTAAAGACCAGTCGGCACTCAGTGAGTGATGTGGTAAACATCACACAGGCCGCTTTTGCTTTACCTGACCTGCTACCCATTGAAGGCTGAATCGACATGCTAACAATTTAAGGCTGGATCGACCTGCTACCCACTGAAGGCTTGATCGACATGCTATCAATTTAAGGCTGGATCGACCTGCTAATTATTGAAGGCTGGATCGACCTGCTACCTATTGAAGGCTGGCTCGACCTGCTACCCATTCAAGGCTGGATCTACCTGCTACCCATTGAAGGCTAGATAGACCTGCTACCCATTGAAGGCTGGATCGACCTGCTACCCATTGAAGGCTGGATCGACCTGCTACTCATTCAAGGCTGGATCGACCTGCTAGCCATTGAAGGCTGGATCGACCTGCTACCCATTGAAGACTGGATCGACCTGCTACCCATTCAAGGCTGGATCGACCTGGGAGCCAAAGTTATTTTTGAAGAATGTCCAGCTCTGTCAGGATCTGCACGCAAGACCTTCGGATGGGCAGGCGAAAGACCACGGTGGTTCCCACCATACATTACAGGTCATTTATAATAATGAGATCTCTCACAATGTTAGCTGACAGAACATCCTTACTGCATATAATCCGTTGAGTCCAGAAGTGCTCGGATCCAGTACTCGTTATTTTCCTCAAATGTACTGGTTGACGACACAAGTTCTGCGTTGGTTTAATAATAATATAAGGGGGGCTGCGGGGTCTCGAGGCATGGTGTCCCCCTTGAGTGCTAGAGGTTCCTGGTTCAATTCCCCCCGGTAAGGGCTAGGATTTTCTTATAGTCGACTTATACTTCTAGTAATTTTCCCTGGTCTCTGGGTAGTTAGATCATACACCCGTGTGCCTTGTTTAGCACGAAAAAAATCCCTTGGCAGTTGGAAATCAAAAAGAGTAGCCTAACGGCGCTGCCCGGGCAAAATTTGGCGTTAAAAATCTACCCAAAGTATTTCAGGATCCTTGTCGGTGCCACAAAGCCCGTGCAGACTTGACTTTTTTTTTGGATCTTAGTCTTTTATTTCACAAGTAATCTGGACGAGTCAGCGAATATGCTCCAGAAAATCCTGGCTGTTGTTATTGGGTAAGAATTAATTCTCACATTAAGGGCATTGTGAATAATTCACTTGACCTCTATCTTTGCGTCTGCTTTTGTTGGAGACAACGAGAGTGCTGTTATCTGGTGGACAAGGCGGTTACAATGATTAGTCCAGTACTGGTGTCATTAATGCCATGCCAGCTGCATACGACGAAGAGGGTCACGACCACAAGCAGGAATCAGTTTCACTGTCCAGATCAATTGTAAACATCTACATGGAGCTTCTAACTCAGGAGCTTTGGGGTACAGAAATCACTGTTACAACACACCCATTCCTGCCCCCCCCCCCGCCCCCCCCCCCCCACAGACACACACAGTCAGACACAAATACATAGGATTTTGTATTCTCAGTTTCAGGAATTCTCTAAAGTCTTTTTTCGAAAGGGAGTTCGATTCACGGGAACCCCTGGATGCTGATAACGTAAGTTGTTGATAAGCTTTATGAGTGTTAGCAGAGGCAGATGAGGGACTGAATGCATTACTGCGATAGAATGACAATATGATAGGTGCAGATGAGAGATTGAAGGAATTTACAGAGATAGAGCGGCAGTTGAAAGATGTATGAGAGAAAGTACCCACAGAAAGATAAATGCTATGGTTGGTTCAGAACGTACTGTAAAGGATACGCAATGAACTAACAGAGGTATGTTCAATGCGGATTTTTGTTTCAGAATTACAACCCAATTGAATCTAGGATCAAACGGGCACCAAGTAATGGCATTATAAGTAGATGCAATCGGTTTCGTGGCGAGCTCATCGCTCACCGAATATCACGATGTCTATACAACTATAGGTCTACAGTATGTTCTAAAATCCATGCCCTCAAACGTTAACCAATTTTTGAAAACTACTGTACGGATTAAACCAAATTTTGCATGGGGTCTTTTTTTTTTTTTTTTTTTTGTAATGTCCATTTGATTTTATAATTTACAATTGCTCATGTACTACTGTTGTATTAAAAGGGCGAGCTATATTTTTTTTTTCATCAATATTGGACTTATAATTTGTGTAACCGGAAAAGAATAGAATACACAATAGTTGACACACGTCGTTACAGTAAACCCCAAAGATTGTTTTAGAAAACATTTTACATGCACAGCAATGCGTAATGAAAATCTTGGTAGCCCAGCTGCTAACATTGAAATATTGTAGCTGACGGAAATCAAATGCAGGAGAATGACAACTTGAGACGCCGTGTTTCGCAAGGATTACCTCTAAAACATGTGCAGTTTGACGTTTGCTAACTGAATGCTTTGAATTGGTGATTTGTTTTCTTATACCGAAAAGAAGACCACCAAACCCCCCAAAAAATGTTGTTATTTCTTTACATGGACATGATTATTAACAGGTTGCATGCCAAATTTCAATGATTTAAATCGAAAAGTTATTGAGGTATTCATTCCTGAAGTTGGGCACGACTTGTGGAAGGGGCCATAACACTGTGTGTCTGATTCATCAAGACGGAAAAAGGGCCCTTTACTATATTTTTTGTTACGTATAAGATGCACAACATTATAGACGGAGAGACATATGAAAGTGTGCATCCTTTGAAAAATATAATGATGACCTAATACCTTGAGGAAGGAATGATAGAATGTGTAGATTTAGCATAGAGATTATAAACGCAAAATCCCACTTATTTTTACGTAAGTTACTACTATGATCAGCTGAGAACGATTTGTCTTGCGTTGGTTTCAAAAGTGGCACCGAGAGCTGACCGTTCATTCGCAATAGCAAACTAGTAAAGGTAAAATTTGCCCAGAAAAACCATAACTGCCAAAACAATGCTGGGGTTTCTTCTGTAACGTCCTCTAAAGGATCCGCAAATAACTTTTTTTTTTTTTTTTTAAATCTCTAATTATAATTTGGCATGAGATATATGCCTTGTTTTCTACAAGAGCATGAGCGTCACACCGCTCAGTGACAAACCACTGAACATAAAATATGCCCAGCAAAACCACAAACAGCCAAGAAATGCTGTGTAAATTTCTGATGTCCTAAAAGATATGAAATCTACGTTATTTAAAGTGCCTGTAATTATTATTTTCAATAGTACTTCCTCTTGGATTTGTTTATCAGTAATAGTTAGTTGTGAAACCTTTTTCAGAACATTGCAGAACCAACTACAGCATTTGTTAGATATTTTTCTTTTTCAAAGGCAATTTTACTTTTAGTAGTTTGCCATTGCTTCCCAAACGGTAGCATGTCTTTACTCCTGCTGAAATTATCAGAAGGCGACTGCTGCCAAATTGCCCGCAGCTGAAATCCAGAAGGGTACTTTGGAATTGCGAAGCAAGTTCGCAACACCTAAGCCACAGACATTGAATCCGTTATTGTTTGTCTGAAGCATATTATGATGAGCTTATCTCATTGGCTTACAGATTGTGGTCGTATGCGGACTCACAGCTTTACTGGAATCTCTGGCCTTTGCCCTGATAGACCAAGGAGGTATGTTGTTTGCTTGCTTGGTTCGCTCACATTGTACACGATTTGTATACGCACGCTGTTTCCAGTGACACGGTAGGTGTGTTGTTGAATTAGGTGGTTCTGTATGTGAAATCCACATGATTTCTGTGCGTACCTTGGCTCCACTAGATGACGGAGGTATGTCGCTGGATGTTGTGCTTGTGTACAGTGTACAGAGATCCCTCAGATTACGAACATAAGTCGTTCTTTGATTCCGTTGTCTGTATGCATGTCTGTCTGCTTTTCTGGCAGTCTCTCTGTTCGCCTGTCTTTCTGTATTTCATTATGTCTGTCTGTCTGCTTGTCTATCTGTCTGTTATTCTGTCTGTCTGCTTGTGTATCTGCTTGTTTGTCTGTCTGTCTGTCGGTGGGTCGGTACGTCAGTCAGTTGGTCGGTCGGTCTGTCTGTCTGTCTTTTTCTTTTCGTTTGTCAGTTGGAATTCATACCGATGAATATTGAGTGTATTCAAATGTGTATCCTTTGTACAGATTACATCATGACATCTTCTCCATACTATTATCGTATCAAAAATGACCTGACCGAGAGGGCAAGGGTCAACGTCCTGGAAGTGCCACTGATAGCGAAGGTAAGTAATCTAAGTAATGGTGGGCTGATCTGTCGATGATGGGCTCCTATAAACCCGGTGTAGGTTTAAAAAAGAAACAAACATTTTCTCCACCATCCGGCGTATTGGGCATATAGCGCTAGACCTTATTTTTTTACCAGTGGGCACTAAGTGGGTGATGTGATGAGCTCAGCATCCCACCGACCGCATTTACTTCCCAGGACTTTCCCTGGTACCCACTCAAGACTGGGTTAACCTGAGAGCCAAGGTCATTTTTAATAACAGTGTGGCTCCGTCAGGACCCGAACCCACGACTTTCAGATCAGCAGCAGAGCGTCTAGCCAAACACCACGGCGGCTTCCACGGGCGATGTACATGGATATATAGATAGTTAGAGAATGGTCCGTTTACTGTCAAACTCCAAGTTCTGGTTGTTCATCCATCTCTGGATTTTATAGACTTGTTCCAGAACCTGAGTTTTGCGTGCAAATCCGTTTTACAGATCTGACTTATTTGTATGCAGACTGTTAGTTCCTTGTCTCTCAAGCAGGTGTGCTCCGACTTCGAAGAAAACGCCCAATTAGTCGACTCCCACGACAATGCTTGTTGGAGAGTCAGTGGGTCTATTCTTGTTTTCCTCACAAAGGAGCTCAGAAACCAACACAGGGATATAAGAATTATGTAACTCGTTTAGCATCGGCCAGCTTTACCTCCCTGAACACTTCTTGGTACCATAAGTAGGATCTCTCTAAGGGCGCATCTCAGTTATGAAAATTTGATTCGAATCTAAGAACTCCAGGTCGGTAGGCCACTGCGCGCTCGCTTCTGTTTCCATTGTGGAGGAGAACGCATTTGATGAGCATCAAAGAAAAATACGTTACCGAGTACGGACCAGTCAGTAAAAAATATGGGTATAGGCTGCTATTTCTATGTCATAAAAATAGTATTTAATTTACTTCTTTTTAATGTGCAGCAACTAAAAATCAGAAAGTTTTTGTTAGAGTTTAAAAAAAAAAAAAGTTTTCCCTGCAAAAATTGTGGCCCATATTGTAATCTATGATTATTGTGTTGTATGGTCAACTATGATATTGTTGTATTGTAAAGTATGATTGCGTTGTATTGTTAAGAATATTTCTGTTGTTTGAGTAGTATGTTTATGTTGCTCTCTCGTGTGTGACACTTGTGACTTTGTGTTGTGCCATATTCTCTTATTCTCTCTGTATGTTTTTGTATGAGAGAAAGAGAGAGAGAGAGAGAGAGAGAGAGAGAGAGAGAGAGAGAGAGAGAGAGAGAGAGAGAGAGAGATTATTAGTAATTTAGAATAAATTTTTACCTTTGAAGTATGACAATAGTTTTATAAATTCATATTATACAGTGTATTGTAAACTCCTCGTGTGGGTTTCAGGGTCCAATATTGGCAGGCAAATAAACAGACTTACTGCCCATAGCAAGCATGTCGCAAGAGGTGACTAATTGTGGTTTTTGCTTTAATAAGATGTGTATGACCGAAAGGTGGGGATTTCGCAGCCCATCTGAATATACTATACGACAAACCATCTGCCCTTTTAAAGGGCGAATGCAGAAAAAGAAGTATCACAATTTATGACTTTATTGTACTGTCCGTCATGAATACTCTGTTATTTATATCTTTGGTTCTGTAGTTCGTCAGAAGCAAAGTGTATGAGCTTTCACGACAAGAACCAAAGGAAAAGTCTTTGAAGAAGATAGTGGAGCCTTTGCTTTGACCACCAGCAGCATGACAATGGAGGTCAAGGCTGTGACCAAGGCTTTAGAATGGCTGAATGTTCTAGAGTTCACAAATGAATGTTTGCTCAGCGATTAAATGAGCGTGCTACAAAATATCAAGAAGGGGTACATACAGAATTAGTGGCGCCATCTGATACAGCATGCAGCGTTTCGCAAAAACACCTTTATTTTTGCTATGGGAATGCTGATGGGGAAAGCAATGAGAGAGCAGACACTCTGGCTGGTTTGTGACTTTAGGAATTGGCCATCTATGGACAGGGGAGACATCATCAATGCCATACGCGACACTGTGAGCCTTCTAGTTTCATGGAAAATGATTTGTCACTGAATAGGCTGCATATCCTGGGTGTACCAGTTGGAGCTGCGAGACAGGAAAACCACGCGGGAGCCACCCATCGTTACATCATCCAGAAAAGAATGGGAGTTGTTAGCCTAAAAACACTTGGAAACATACTCAGGAGGAGATCGGAGCACTTATGGTCATGTCCGATGTGCGATGAAGATGATCTCAGAAATGAACAATGAATAATGATCACGATGTACTTACTGTACACATAAATGTTGTATTGTGATGAATTGTACTCTACACACATATGTTGGTCTCCTAGCCAAAGACAAGACGAGTGAAACCCTACACTCTAGACGTTGATATACTGGAAGAAGGATTCCTCGAGGCCGAGCGAGAGGTAGGCAGGCAACTAATTATTTGTTATCGTGTTTGACACTTGTATCTTTGTGCTGACATATGCTTTCTCTGTATCAGAATGTGCATGTCTGTGTGTGTATATGTGTGTGCGTGTGTGTGTGTGTGAACCTCTCTCTTTGCCTCCCTCTGTCTCCCTCTCGCTCTGTCAATCTCTTTGTCTTCTTTTCTTTCTGTCTTCCTTTCTTTGTCTCCTTCTTTCTCACCGTCTTCCTAACTCTCTATCTTCTTTTCAGTCTGTCCTCCTTTCTCTCTGTCTTCCACTGTCTGTCTTCCCTCCCGCTCTCTCTGTTTCTCTGTTCCCTATTACCCTGTGTGTCTACATTTCTCTTTCTTTATGTCTCCTCTCTCTTGGTCCCTCTGTCTCCTCCCCTCTCTCTCTCTCTCTCTCTCTCTCTCTCTACCTGTCTCCTTTTCTCTTGCTCAGTATATACATATCTATATATAAATATTATATATATATATATATATATATATATATATATATATATATATGTATATGTATTTATATATATATATATATATATATATATATATATATATATATATATATATATATATATATATATATAATACAATTGCCGTGTGAAAGGCGAGTACTTGAAAGGGCCGAATGTAAGACGGGACTTCGTGTTCCCCACCAAGAATATTTAAAACATGGATAAACGGCCTCAATAATAGTATACAGAAGATACTTTTTTTTAAAGTATGGTTTATGCGCTTCAAATTATTTTTAATATATTGTTATATTTATTTGGATTTTCCATGTCAAAATGGTCAAGTCACTTGCCTCGCGCTTTGTCGGTCGTGGGTTCATTTACCGGTGATGACGTTCAATTCACGAGTGCAATTTTTACGGAGATCCCCAAATAATGTCACCGAAGCTACGGAGGTTGTGCTCCATGCGACCTTTTTGGCAGGCAATTAGCTGTTCTGAGGAGAGAGACTGAGCCATACGGGATAAAAACGGGTGCAGTGTTGATCCTCTTACCTTTACCTTTACCAGCATAATCGGTATCAGGGGTTCAGATGCCACGGTGGGGAAAAAGAAAAGACAATCTGCTTCCCTGACAAGCATGTCGTACGAGTATTAGGGGGTTTCCTTCGAAGTCGGAGTGTATGTGACATAGGTTTTGTCCCTGTCTAGGGGGTTGTGTTAGACCCAGTATCTAAAAGTTTTAGAAGTGTTAAAAGCTCCGGCATGTTGAAATATACAACACGCGGTATGAGCGCGAGTGCGGATTATCCCCGTGACCTTGCGTGAAAGACGGATCGCTCGAGGTCTACCTATCAGAGGTAAGGTGGTCAGTTGGCCGTCCAGTCAGAAGCGAGTTAGTGTGTAGTGGTGTGCTAATGGGGAGACGAGAGTAAAATTTACCGATGGAAAGGTACCAAATACTAAACAAAATTTGCTAGCATACTTGTGCATAATGTAACCATTCTTGTGTACACAGGGCAAGCGTGTGAAGGCCGTGCTATTGGTCAACCCAAACAACCCACTTGGTGACGTGTACACAGCTCAACAGCTAAACCATATACTAGAATTTGCTGCCAGGTAAGTTCCAGCATTTTTGTTTATCTAAATAAAGTCTAGACTAGAATAGCCCATGCAAAAGTAATTTGTTACACTATAAAGATTCTTCGTCTGTTTTTCCACATTCATCCAAATCGCGCCTACACGTCTTTTACCACGCCATCCTATACCGTCATGTACCGTACAGCTGGCTTCATATCCTTACCATCAGTTGTCAGTGTAGCCTATACTTCTTTTATCCTTGTGTCTTAGGTCTGCTTTTCTTTCAGTCATCTTGTTTGTTGCAGTCGGACGATATTCCAGTTGGGAATTTCGACTACAGGAACAGTGCCATTATCGAAAGAACTGTTTGCTTTGATGTTAAGACTGTTTACATGATACCCGGATGTTCTAGTTATATTATTGTCAGATTTGCTCAGTATGTGTTATTTAACAGATCTCTATAACAATCAAAAACGACAAAATGAACGTTGCAGTTGGCAAACCCTTCATAAGCATACGACACAAGTGGATAATGATACACCGATGATACACACAAGAATACATAATATCGCTTGTCTTTACGATGAGGCGTCTATCTATAACTATATTATTGCCTTAAACTTTGTGTGACTTCACACCTCATTGTGGATTTTTCAAAAAGAAGGATAAAGAAAAAAAGACGAGTGGATTATTGTTTATATTTCCCCTACACATGTTAAAGAGCTACTTGTTGTGACATCTAATGAAGTATGTTTAATTTGTCTTGCATCCGTCCTGAAAAAAGGGGGGCAATTGGGGTGTGTGGTGGCGTTTTGGGGGTTGGGGGGGGGGGGGGGGGGGGGGGGGTTGTGCAACAGATAGTTCTATAGCCTCTTATTTTGGCATAATCACAAAACGTCTGTCAGAAAATATAATGAGGCGCAAAAGCGCAAGCATTATTTTGACCACATCGCCCACCAAGTGCTCTTTGTTCTACACACGCATGGCGCGTGCACCATACACCTAATATGGAACAATGCAGTGAGAATTGTTGTTAATTTCCTATTTTTACATAAATATTCTTCTTTTGTGTATTTTTTTAAATTTTTATTTACATTTGCTGGATAATGCAAATATGGTTTTAACTCCGTTCAGTAACAGCTTTTTACTTGTTTTTCCCCCAAACACTTTTAAATGAGGATTTTTTTTTTTCATTCTAGTGAAACAGCCGTTGAGTTTCTGTTAGTTAAATTTAACCGAATATGAAACAAGGTCAGTTACAGTAATCACTAGCCGAACTTTTCCCCCCTCCTTTTTCTCCGAAATGAACTTAGCTTCCAGGAAGACCATGTAAGGTCCTTGCAAGTAACAACAGCCCACGTGACGTTGGCCACATCACCCACCAATTGCTGATTTATATATGAATTAAGATCTAGCACTAGAAGATTTAGGAGTCACGGTGGCCGAGCAGCTAGACGCTCGCCGCGGATCGGAAGGCCGTGGGTTCTCTCCCTGGCGGAGCTGGACTTTAAAAAAAAAAATAACCTTGGCTCCCAGGTCGACCCAGCCTTGAGTGGGTCCCGGGTGCAGTCTCGGGAAAGTAAAGGCGGCCGGCGTGATGCTGACCACATCACCCCATCCTAAAGGCGTGGAAAGGGTCCTTCATTTTTTTACTTACTAGATGATTTGCTTTTACTGTGTAACTGTATTAGAAAGGATGAACTGAACGTTAGACAATTTCTACATTGTGTGCTGTGTAATCAGTGCTGTTCACACCGGGACATGCCAGGTGAAAGGGAAATGAAAGAGACGACAAATTGGCTGTGTCTACAGTGGTTGGTGGAGAGAAAAGTATGTACAGGACAACATACTGAATGCATTGCTTTTCAGACGCGTTGAGACAAAGAAGTCAGAAATGAGGAACAAATAGGTGGAAGTCTGTATAAACGAGGACAAGCATGCAGAAACCTGTTGTGGGGTAAAGAAAAAAGATACGCCAGTCAACTTCTAGTGGTCACGGTGGCCAAGAAGACACTGAGATGGCTGCTGCATTGGAAGACGAAACACGAATTGCTAGAAACAATGTGCTAGGATGTTGAGACGAATAACATGTATCAATATAATGTAAAATAATCTGTGAACGCGTAGTAATTTACTTGGCATTGAGCGAGTTAAATATGCCCGTAATCAATGAGGTTTATATATGTATGTGTGTGTGTGTGTGTGTGTGTGTGTGTATGTCTGTGTGTGCGTGTATATATATGTGTGTGTGTGTGTGAGTGCTGTATGTTTATGTATGTGCGTGTGTGTGTGTGTCTGTCTGTGCGTGTATGTGTGTGTGTGTCTGTGCGTGTATGTGTGTGTGTGTGTGCGTGTATGTGTGTGTGTGTCTGTGTGTGTATGTGTGTGTGTGTGAGTGTTGTATGTTTATGTATGTGCGTGTGTGTTCAGTGTGTTCGTTCATCTGTTTCTAACTTGTTCAGGTACCAGCTTCACGTGATTGTTGATGAAATATACGCCTTGTCAGTGTTTGACCCGGATGTGACCTTCACAAGTGTCCTTTCTCTATACCATCCAGACCCAGAAAAAGTTCACTTTATATGGGGATTCAGCAAGGTAAGGTTAACTCTTTGAGTACCACAAGGTTTCATTGGTTATGCCCATATATAAATAGGAAAAACCTCAACTGTAATATTTTCAATGATGTTAAAAACACTGGAAAACCATATTTCCTATTTCTTATTTCTAGCCCATACCTAGAAAATTGATGATGGCAGAGTCCCTACGGACATCCTCTATGGTGAATTAAAGACGGGTAGAAGATATCCAGGCCGACCTCTACGACGATATAAATATGTGTCTGGACATGACTGACACATGTACTGAGGTGGACTCGAGGGAACACAATGCCATTGACTGTGTTGTGTGGATGAGGAATATCAAGAATAGAATCGAGAATGAAGGAAGAAATGATTGCAGAAAGGATGATAGCCGAGCGCCTGAGAAGAATGAAGATAAACACAAATGTTGACAAAAACTTTCCATTAAAAAATATGCAACACTCGTTAAAGACTTTTCTTAACGCCGGCAGGTCTTGCTTGTCATACTTGCCATCGCCATAGGCTGTTGGTCTCATGCCTACTCATAGCGCAATATAACACCAACGTCCGGAAAGACGGAAAAGGTGCCATTCGATATTTCTTAGTATTTAATAAAAAGACTAGTACATCTTGCGGCATTAATAGAAGTGTCAGTCATGCATCCCACCTTGTTGGGTGGCATTAATAGAAGTGTCAGTCACACATCCCACTTTGCTTTAGACTGAAAGTGTAAATGCAAATCAGAAATATACATACACTGATATACAGCCAGATGTAAATTCGCAAACGCTACATTATGGGGTGTAAGATAATGGGCATGGTGATAGATTTGCTGCTGCTGAACCTCTGGGCGATGAGCTACTTGATACGTCAAAGCGGTTTAGGCACTATGTGATCAAGTGAACAGTACAGTAGAACAGAGCATCTTTACTTTAAAAGAGTGCTTCACCAGGATATGGGTAAAGGATCTAAACGGTTTTCAAACCGCCGGGGACAAGTTGCCTGACATATAAATCGGTTGCAGCTATCAATATCAGTATGAGAGCTGTGTGTTGACTACTGAGGAGTGGGGCAGGTCACATGTGGGTAAAGCTCACAGTGTAATGACGTCAACTTATTCATTCATTCTTCATAATTTCATTTCACTAAAGTACACTTCCGGTGAACGTTACCGTTAAGTGAAGACTGAAAAGATACAGTTTCGCAGCCCAACTACTAAGTTGAGCCAATGGCGCGACACTGTGAGCTGTCATTTGAAATGCTTTTCAACTGTGCCTAACGTGTTGTGCTGTGAAGTGCAGATTTAGGAAATGGCGAGTAGCCTGTTGCCAGAGGACTAGCAGTGCCTTATGCTATATCATACTGATCTGATGTAACTTCTCCTTCCATCAGCGATAAGCTGTATTTAAAGCGCCTGTCTGTTTGTGTTGGCACTTCTGACGACTGCCTTATGCATTAAATACGTGTGAATGCTACTGGCTTTCTTGAAACTTCAGCCTGTATCATTTTTCCCCACAATGGTCAATGGTGGACACTCTGTATGGTTTACGCTCGCACATCAACTTAGCAGCTCCGGGGCGACCTGTTCGATGTGAAGCTGGAACTCCAGTTACCTGATACCTGAGTCATTTATGTATGCACGTATTCACTCATTCATGCAAACGTTAAACAGTACATGCATATTCAGTTCAGGTCCTCCTATACTTGCGCCATCTTTATCTTTGACTTTGACAAGTCTACACTGTAAGGCGTTGGTCGACTGAATTTATCCACAGACTTCTGTCCTGTGTGTTTCGAGTCAGTTCTGATATTGATTACTTTCCTTACCTCCAGACTTTTTAGTATTTTTTTTTTTTTTTGGGTCTCCCCGTGACGCCGCTCCCCCCCCCCCCCACCCCCGTCCACCACACCCCATTTTTCTGGTCTCACAATATACTATAGTTCCTCTTTTTGTGAGCACAAGAAAATGTGGATTGCCAACATTTTGGTGTTTATGATTTCATTTCTTTCAAGACCCAGATGCACTAGTGTCTATTTGTGTAGACGCATAAGTGTCTATGTGTTTACCCTCATGAGTGGGTATATGTCTAGATGCATGTGTGTGTGTATTGACCAGAGTGTCTATGTATGGTGATATACGAGTGTCTGAGTAAATAGACGTTTGCGTGTCTATGTGTTCTGGGATATTAGTGTCTATGAGTGTAGGTGTATGAGTATATGTGTAGGCGTGTGAAAATAGATGTGTTTAGGCGTTTGATTGTCTTTGTGTATAGGAGGCTGAGTGTCCGTGTAAGCGTGCTATTGTCTATGTGTGTTGGCGTATGAATGTATGTATGTGTAGATGTATGCGTGTCTTTGTGCAGGCGTGTGTCAAAGTGTGTAGGAATACTTTTGTGTAGTTTAGTAACTGTCTGGGTGTTTCAATTACTATGTATGTCTGTGTGTAGTGTCTGAGCGTGATTATTCTCCATGTGTTATGGTCACCAGGACTTTGGCCTGTCCGGTTACCGTTGCGGGGCACTCTACACCAACAACAAGCCACTGGTCAAGTACATGGTCAGCCTCGGCTTATACCAGCAGACGGCGCCACTTGTGCAGCAGAGACTCAAACATATCATTGATGATACAGGTCATTATTGTTTATTTCTGTATGTAACACTAACTTTAATTAACGATGGGTAGAAAATGTCGAGGCCGACCTCTACTAAGATGTAAAGATATGTGCAAGCGCGGGATGAATGATAAAGGTATTGAGGTGGACTCGTGGGAACGAAATGCCATGGAGGGGGCACATCAGGAAGGTAATGAGAATAAAGAAAGAAATTATTACAGAAGATATGAGAGCCGAGAGTCTGAGAAAAAACATTATAAACACAAATGCTGAAAACAACGGTCATGAAATTCCATGCTATAATTGTACAAGGCTTTTCTACGCTGGCGGGTCTTGCTAGTCACATTCTCCCTCGCCATGGGTTGCAGTCCCATGCCTCCTTTTAGCGCAGTATAACACCATCGTATGGAAAGACTGAAAGGTGCCAGTCAATCAATCAGTCCACGTCAACGTCCATGGTTTATGCAGCATTCATATTTAAGGTGAATAAACGCTGCTGTCAGTTTACAATCAAAGACAGTAATCTGGTAATCTTAGTTTCGGCTTCAAAGCAAACGGGTCACCCCATAGTTGCTCTGCTCCTGTGCCAACTAAAAACACACAGAATGTTTATCACACTCCCCTCTGGAAAGATTGACAGACTGCTATCTCAGCGTATGCACTAGCATACACACGCATTTAAAGCATACGGTAGCCATCCAAATTGCTAACACAAACTGTCCGACGTTAGAAATGCAGCTCATCATGGGTGGTAGCACGAACAGATCAGCAGTTGCACACGCGATCAATTTAAATCACATAATGGCACTACCAATATTGCGACAACAGGCATAGCGCTATTTTCTGAATCTACAATTCACACCACCACGTTGGTCACAGTAGAAAAGCATTCCAAATGAAATCATCAGCTCACAGTGTCACGCCATGTACTCAACTCAGAAGCTGGGCGACGAAGCCATCCTTTCAGTCTACACATGGAGCAAAAATGCACCGACCACTGTGTGACAGAAGCAAAACATTTTGCCATGGCTCTCAACAGTAACCATGCCTAGCGTCTATTTTGACCGGAAGTAATGAGAGTTTATTAACGGTCACCCCAGTGGTGCCCTTGTACTGTGGAAGGGGCCAGGGGCGTAACCACCATCAGCAAGGTGTCGACCCTGTACGACCTGACTGCCTTCGTTAACGATTGTGCACCCCAGAACCATGCAGTTCTTTGGCAAGAAGGAGACACCTTAAACTTGGGTTCTGGACTACCGACTCTCTACATGCTCACACGCTTGTGTTAATGGTGTACACAAGTTATCATGTTTCTCTTATATACCATTAGCCTTATGTTCCAGCATACATTTATAAATATAATACTATTGTCAGGCATATATGCATTTATACACTTAAACATACTAGTAATAGTTGTGACAACAATTAATGTCACATACCGCTCGTGTCAAGTGCCTGATTAAGGATTTCTCCTTATGAACTAACAGCACTCTGAAATAGTATAAATATTGGGATGTCTAGGTGGTATTTCGCGGCCAGTATACACCCAACCTAATTCAGGAGTAGGGCAACACAAGCTATGGCACTACAGAATATATAAATATATATATATATATATATATATATATATATATATATATATATATATATATATATATATATATATATATATATTCCTAGGCGCAACTTGGCCGGACGTCCCCAACACTAAAAGAAATTAGCCCCCAGACTATGATAGTTTATTATCACAGTCATGTTAACACAGATTAAGATTACTATTTATAAATACATGTACTCCAGACAGCTAAGAACAGTGAATGATGGACACTCAAGTCAATAATGAAAAACTCCAAAAACATGTAATAAATTCTACCTACACATCATATAAGTGTCACGCAAGAAATTCAAGAACAACCAGAATGATGAGAGACCAAAAACACAGTTAATCTGACTGGTACTCTTAGAGATTCCCAGAGGCAGCCTGACTTCATCACAGTGAGCATGTGGACAATTATTAGATAAGCATGGCTTTGAACCATCGACTGATGCCACTTATCTGATTGCACTTCTGCTTTAATGAACTCGTCTGTTTCATGATTACTTGGACAAGCTGACACTTTCAGGAATGTTTAATCAGACTGTTGATTTGGTAAAAACAGTCAAACTCAGTTCTCAATCACTGGAACACAAACAGGTTTTTTGAGAGGGTACTCTGGCACTAAGTCTGTCACTGGTAGCCCTGAACAACTGCTGGACAAAAGGATGGTGAAAGTGCATCAAGCATAATAATGTCTGTTGACAAGTTGCAGGATTACTATCTGGTGGAAGACAAATTGGTGGCTTGCAAGCTGATGCATACAAACTGTAGTACAACCTGGCCCACAAGCTGGCTTATACGTTGATGACTTCCATGTTGGTGGTTTTGTGGACTGCTGATTGACTGCCTGACTTCCAAGGATTAATCATCCTGTGACAAAAAGGAAATCAGAATTAGTAGTCATTTCACAGTTCACATGCCTAGCTCATTTTAGGATTATCCACACTTTGTAATCACTCAGAGGACAGCTCTCAGGATAATGAGACAATAGTAGCCTCCATGTATCTCTGTCAGTCAGTCAGGATAAGAGACATGAGACAAGGTTCACATTGGAGACAGACATACTCTATCAGACAGAGAACATCCTCTCTCCACATCCACATCTGCACCTGTAGTCACACAGACCACCACTCTCCCACATATGTATATATTATTTTCCACATACTGACCCTAACCTACTCTGTGTTGTGCTTGAGTTTCCTATAAATAACTCCTGGCATCACTGTGTGTGTCTCTCGCCGCGCGGAGAAGCTGTGCACTGACCCGATTAAATCTGCCAAATTCCCAACTAGCTAGTTATGGGATGATTGGTCTGCTAGATTAAAACATTTATACTAATACTGGGTTAGGTAGGGCACATACTCTCAGCTTGAAAAGGTGAAGGGTTGATTTAGGTGGTCGGGAGTATTTTGACACCAAGAACAGTCTCCCTCTATAATGTCTCATAGCCGATCATTCCTCTCCTCAGCAGCGGGTTAAATATATAGATATAGATACATGGTACTCGTAAACTATAATCGACTTACCCAAGCTCAGGATTCCTCCAGGTAATAAACTGGTACTTTGTTCTAGACAGAATTAAGCATAAAGGCAAAACACTTCTGTTCTACTTGGAAGCCCGACTGAGAATGGAGGGAAACTAGGCGTCACTTTCAAAGCAAGTAGTCCGCCAGATTAATACGCCGAGGAGCTAATCGTCTCCTCGGATAAAGAATAACAATCCAGAGAATCCCTACCCTACAACTGTGAATTTAAAAATGTAGACTTTTCAAGAGACTCAGAACATATAGACATACGTAATTGGTCAGATAAAGGCATAAATAGACAACATGGACTATATACCCACCGAGCGGGTCTATTTTGAATGTGACCTGCCCGCTAGGGGCGCCAGCGTCACCAATAGTAGGGGTGGTTTTGACCATTCCAAAACAATTAATAATAATTAACAGTTCGCAAGCACTCACGTATCAAAGTAGAGAGGGAAAGACAGTTCGCAAGGATTTCGGATAGTGGAATGAGAGTTGCCTGGAAGAAATTGTAGCATCACCATGTAATGTTTCCAAAGAAAGTACTGGTGGTATATACTTACTTCGGTCAACTCTGTTGTTGAGTCGGATGAATTCTTTTCCCCACTGAACTGCCACTTGCGACATTCATTAAAAGTTATAATATTTTGACAGGTGGACTTAGAATTTGGTCCCAACTGGCACCATCAATATTGACGGAACTGAGCAACGAAATCGACTGCCCTGTGTGATGCATAATAATAATAATAATAATAATAATAATAATAATAATAATAATAATAATAATAATAATAGGAATAATAATAATAAAAATAATAATACAATTATATTAACAGTAATAATAAACATTTTTAGCAGCAAAAACTATGTGTAATGTACTGGCTTTCTCATAACCTTTGTTTTAAACCAGCTCGGATGTCGAGAAAAATGGTTCCGATTTTTCTGCGTGGTCTCGAGGTATGGTGACCGCATGGTATTCACATCATTCGTCTCCGCCACTTTCACGTAATCATTTCATTAATTGGACAACTTCTCATAATTCCCTTCGGGTTATAATGATAGGATTTATTTAGCTCCTGTGAATTGTCTTTCTCACCTCAGTTGACATAGTGAGATTGCCAAGAATGTTCTACCTTTTGTGAATTACTAACATTTCTCTCTCTCTCTCTCTCTCTCTCTCTCTCTCTCTCTCTCTCTCTCTCTCTCTCTCTCTCTCTCTCTCTCTCTCTTCACCATTGAATCACTAAGAATGTATCGGCAGACTGTAGCTCAATGTCCACAGACTGGCTACATCAGACGTACATACCAACTCTGCATGAGCGCTTGAGGCGGCAATACCGAATGTGTTACGACGCATTGGTTAAATGTGGGGTAGATGTGCATCACTCATCTGGCGGCATTTTTGTTTGGATGGATGCCTCTAAGGTAAGGAATTGTTAGTGTCTTTGCCTGCTAAGATAATGGTCTGGGTTCAAACAACAGCATACGTTGATTTATCACCCCCCCCCCACCCCCAACCGCCCCAGCCAATAATTACTACAGGTCTGTGCCTTTTGTGTTAGATCTTTACGGGCACAAGAATACAAGTTCGACCAGCCTTCATTCTGACATCTCTCGAGGTTGGGATTTATCTTGCTGGTATGCCACCCTGGATGAGACTCTTAAAGTCTCGGGGATAATCTAACCCTAGCTTGGCAGCCTAGATGAGACAAACAGACCGCCCACGGTGGACAAAGCAACATAAAATGCCACCGGTCAAGCTAATAAAGCTTATGGCTAATTCCTGGCATTAAAAGAATACCTGAGAAAGGTGCAGAATACTTCCTATGCTGAGGTGTAGGCCTCATTTATGCTAAATCGATATTCGTTAGTTTTTCACCAACAGGATTGCAGTCTGGACGATCAACATCTCACGGATGTCAGTCAAACAGGTACAAACCCCAGAAATCCCGTTCAACCGTTTAGATATATAAACTTTACATTGGGCCACCACACAAAACGGTTTCGAAGCAGCCTGTAGCCCCGTGTGGGTGTGTCTTGCATTGTGGCGACATTTACCTTCTGTACCAACATATTGTCAGTCTGTGTTCAACTGTCTCAGCTGCAGCTTTATTTATTTATCCCACTCAGCCAATTCCATCAACAACCACGAAATGCAGAAGATGATAAGTGTTTTCTGTCCGCTCTTTCATTATGTTTTTGCGTCTGCATCAAGAAGAGAGAGAGAGAGAGAGATAAAGAGAGAGAGAAAGAGAGAGAGAAAGAGAGAGAGAGAGATAGATAGAGATAGAGATAGAGGGAGAGAGAGACGGGGTGAAGAGAGAGAATAAGACTGACAGAGAGATATAGAGTGAGTGAGTAGTTTACATGTAGACAAACAAAATAGATTAGGACGCTAAGACTGCAGAACCTAAAATGTCTACATGGAAACGATGTTCTGGAAATTAACTGTTGTGTGTGTGTGTGTGTGTGTGTTTGTGTGTGTGTGTGTGTGTAATTTGTGTCACATTTGCAACATCTCGCGTGCTGTACCCACTGGCTTAAAAAAATAAGTCTAGCTTCAAAACCAACACGTACGAAACAGTCTTTTAAGTAAGGTAAGTCCAATGCCAAATCAATAGTGCCATAAGGAGCATAAACAGGAAAACAACTGCAACAGTTACTAATAAATTACAAACAATTATTAATTGGCGTCTGCCCAGAATAGATCGTATTACATTGTGCGAAACTGTTGATCTTTGGAAGAGAACTAAATAAATTTCACTGAATCAAGAAGATGAAGAAAAAAACGCTAGAGACGCATAAGACCCACGTTGAGAAAACAAGAGAACAGTATAAATACAAGGCCTTTATCCTAGAAACGACACGGGAATAGAAATAAAGGTAGGCCAAAAACACACTGAGGAGGCAACTAGAGAGCAAAGTTAAAAAGACAGAGAAGACATGGGGTGAACTATATGCGAAGGCAAATGATAGGACATCTGATGCCTATGTTCTATTGGGTGATACAGGGAGAGGTAAAAAGGGAAGTAAAGGACTATTTTCACATCTTCCTTCCCAGGAAATTACCAGTTACCCATTTCAGGCTGGATTAACCTGGAAATCAATGCCAATTTGTTTAGAAAAAAAAAAAGCACATCGATGCAAATTTTAACTTCAGACCCCCCGAACTGAGAGTCGAGCGTTTAGCCACTACGCTATCGCGGCTGCTCTAAGTATTTTACTTTGGTAACACTAATAATTTCACATACTTCCTTCCCCCTCCCGCAGAAGAGAGCCACCGTTGTGTAGCAGCTAGACGCTGGCCTACCGATCCGCAGGTCGTGGGTTCAGATCCTGATGAAGCCGAATCTCCCCCACCCCCCCCCTCCCCTCCTAAACATTACCTTCGTTCCCAAGAAGACTTAGTCTCACATGAGTAGCAGGTAAAGTCTTGGGAAGTAAATAAAGTCCGGCTCGTGATTTTAACCACATCACCTACCGAGTGCTTATTGTCTAAAAAATATAGGTCTAACCATGTATGCCCAGAACGCATAAAGGCGTGGAAAAGAGTCATATACTTTACTACTGCCTGCAGATGTAACAAATGTGTAAGTTTATGAGCTGAGTTATCTTCACGAGACTCCAGACATCCATAGCTGCTCATATTCCTCCTTAATCATATACATCAGCGTCCCGGGGTTAATAGTACCAGTCCTACGCTGGTTGAAACGACTTATTGCACGTCCGGTGTGCCTTTCATGCCTCACTGCGCTGATCATTACTCTGAATTCTCGCATTCATAACAGAGATCTGGAAACGCTGCTCCCAAAATACTCCGATAGTTCTATCTCTCAAAGGGGGTTACCAATGGCTGTTCGATCCATAGGCCGGTCATCTGCAATAAGGAAGAACAGGCAAACCCACCACTACTTTTATTACCAAAAAGACCCTTTTTCCTAACAAATGTTTAAGTTTCTAGAGGTCAGATAACGATTCTATGTCACATAGGGTCTTAAAATAACAATTAATGCAGAATAGGTAAATGTAACCGGTTTGAGAGCTAAGACATAGATATAATGTAATATCCTGGTTCTGTGGCATATAAGGTTAGTAAAATTGTTTCACAATATAAACCTTGAAGTTCACCAGGGCTCAATTACCGCGGTTTATGGTTTAGAAATAGGCTTTCAGACGGAGGTACAAGAGTCGCACCGTGGAAGAGATTAGGGCTTGAACATGTCATTTTCCCATAGTTCGCAGAGAACACATTCCAGCCAACCTCCATTGTGTAGACGACACATTTTGTTTTCTAATATGGAAAAAAAGGGAAACAAACACAGAGCAAGTTGTTTGGTGCTCATTGCACCAAGAGCTACTTATTACGTGATTTCTTTGAAATTAAAAAAAAAATATACATGTGTAGCTAAAAAATATATAAATGTATGTTGTTAAGTCAAACAGCACTAGTATTCTGTATGTACCTGTTAAGCTAAATGAGATATAAATGTGTGTTGTTAAGTCAAACAGCACTAGTGTTTTGTATGTACCTGTGAAGCTAAATGAGATATAAATGTATGTTGTTAAGTCAAACAGCACTAGTGTTTTGTATGTACCTGTGAAGCTAAATGAGATATAAATGTGTGTTGTTAAGTCAAACAGCACTAGTGTTTTGTATGTACCTGTGAAGATAAATGAGATATAAATGTGTGTTGTTAAGTCAAACAGCACTAGAGTTCTGTATGTACCTGTGAAGCTAAAGGAGATATAAATGTATGTTGTTAAGTCAAACAGCACTAGCGTTCTGTATGTTTCAGTATCTACCGGAGCAAACATTCGCCGCCGAAGAGTGGTTGTTTGATCAGTTCATGAAAGAAAATGTCTTCATACTTCCTGGGAAAGCTTGCTATAGCACTAAACCTGGCTGCTTCCGGATCGTCTTTGCTCTTGAGGAGAACGTTTGTTTAGAAGGTAGGTGATGTGGTGAGAACTTGAGTTTAGAAGGGAGCTGTTGTGGTGAGAACTTGAGTTTAGAAGGTAGGTGATGTGGTGAGAACTTGAGTTTAGAAGGTAGGTGAAGTGGAGAGAACTTGAGTTTAGAAGGGAGCTGTTGTGGTGAGAACTTGAGTTTAGAAGGGAAGTGATGTGGTGAGAACTTGAGTTTAGAAGGTAGGTGATGTGGTGAGAACTTGAGTTTAGAAGGTAGGTGAAGTGGAGAGAACTTGAGTTTAGAAGGTAGGTGATGTGAAAACCTGAGTTTAGAAGAAATGTGATTTGATGAGAACTTGAGTTTAGAAAGTAGGTCATGTGGTGAGAACTTGAGTTTAGAAGGTAGGTGATGTGGTGGGAACTTCAGTTTAGAAGGTAGGTGATGTGGTGAGAACTTGAGTTTAGAAGGTAGGTGATGTGGTGAGAACTTGAGTTTAGAATGTAGGTGATGGGGTGAGAACTGCAGTTCAGAAGGTAGGTGATGTGGTGAGAACTTGAGTCTAGAAGGTAGGTGATGTGGTGAGAACTTGAGTTTAGAATGTAGGTGATGTGGTGAGAACTTGAGTCTAGAAGGTAGGTGATGTGGTGAGAACTTGAGTCTAGAAGGTAGGTGATGTGGTGAGAACTTGAGTTAAGAATGTAGGTGATGTGGTGAGAACTTGAGTTTAGATGGATGTGATAAAGAGATAACGTGAGTTTAGATGGCAGGTCTAACGGAGAGACAAGATTTTACAAGGCTGGTGATATGGACAAAACCTGAATTTAGAAGCTAGATGATACGGATAGAAAAGGTTAAAAGGTAGGTAATAAGAAGAGAACTTAAGTTTGTAAGGTAGGTAATATGAAGAGAACTTCGGCTTATAAAGTAGGTGACAGGGAGAGAACTTGAGTATAGAATGTAGACAGATGATAGGGGGATAACTTAAGCTTAGAAAGAAGGTGATATGGAGAAAACGAGTCCACAAAGTACGCAAGACAGAGAGAGAGAGAGAGAGAGAGAGAGAGAGAGGGGGGGGGGGGAGAGGGGGGGGAGAGAAAGAGAGAGCATCTTTTTATGAAGAGAGTTTGAGTATTGAAGATTTGTGATCTATAGAGAACTTGAGTTAGAAAGTAGAAAATACGGAGAGCACTTTTATTCAATACGAGTTTATCATTGAAAGACCTTAAGTTTTGAAGTTTGGTGATTTAGAAAGAACTTGGTTAGAAGATGGGTGATGAGAAAAGAACTTGAGTTTAGAAAGACGAAGTGATATAGACAGAAGGTGAGTTTAAAATATAAGTGATTTACATTCATTTCGTGTGAAAGTAATTTATATATGAAAATCCGCGTATTTAAAAGGTAGGTGACACTGGAAAAGACGCATGATTTTTGTACAAACGCTTGGGATGGGGTGGGGGTAAGGGAGACTGTAAACAAGACATGAGATATTGGGAGAGATTGTCAATTCATAACAGTGATATTCCAAGAGACTGAGTTTAGGAAGAACAGGATACATTTGCCCTCACTTTATAAGTGTGTGGTTTCGTATGACAACTTCTTCCTCTGCTGCCTTTATTCGTGGTTGACAAATGGTGCTGTTGTTTACAGCTAAGCTGCGATATCTGTGTCTTTCTATCCGATATGCATCCAATTCAACAAACATTAATTATTCATGTCTTATGACACACTTGTCTATTGCCCCACCCCCCCCCCCCTTTCCGCATGGGACTCATGGAGGGAAGAAGAGAGTCAAATATTCTATTCTCACCAGAATATAAGTAAAGTAAGTAAAGATCCCTTTTCACGCCTTTGGGCGCATCGGGCATATGTGCAGAGCGTCCCATATTTGTACAGACCATCAGCACTCTGTGGGTAGTGTGGTCAGCATTACGCCGGCTGTCTTTACTTTCCCAGGACAGCCCATCCTGGTACCCATTTTAGTCTGGGTAGACCTGCGACGTCCCATACCACGACAAAAATCCACGCAGCCTGCAGTGGGTTTCGATCGCGGTATGCTGGCTTACGAGTCAGACTCGCAACGCCTTAGCCACGGACGCCGCACCACCAGAATATCATTAAACAAATATAGTGATTACATTCTTTATGAGATGATTTAATGTTCTATTGATTCACGATATAATGTTCATTTTTATTGTTTACGAGGCTATACTTTATATAGTATAGACAACTTTATAATGTTCTGTTAACACATCTGAAGAAATAACCCCCCCCCCCCTCCCCCCCCCCCCCCCCCCCAAAAAAAAAAAAATTTATTTGTAACTAACTGTGGCTCATGGGCACCAAAAGGTGTATTATGTGTCTGCGATGTTGTGACCACTGAAAATATATGTAAAAGGGGAGAAGGCAGTGGAAGACAACACGAAAAGATTCTTCTTCTTCTTTTCTTCTTCTTCTTCTTCTTCTTCTTCTTCTTCTTCTTCTTCTTCTTCTTCTTCTTCTTCTTCTTCTTCTTCTTTTTCTTCGTCGTCGTCTTCTTCAGAATTCCGAGCCCGTGAGCTCACTGTAGCAGATATGACTCGCCTCCATTCATCTCACTGGTTCTTCTTCTTTTTCTGCCTCGTGGTCAACGACCACTCAACTCCCATTTGTAGACAATTTTAGCCTCTCTGTCATCTGACATTATCTCAATATGCCCCAGCCATTTTAGTCAGCTCAGCCCTCATGATGTCAGTGATCAATTGTGATTAGAACAATTATACATTTTGTTGTTGCTTTACACACTTTCCGTTCCTCGTTGTTTGCCTCTTTGATGGATCCAAAGATTCGTCGTTGTCGTATGGCAGTTTTGTCGCGCACCTTACTTACAGGATATTTTCACAAATCCCTCAGGTGCTCTGAGACAGGAGTGTTTTGAATGGTGGCTCTCGTTCGTCTAGAGGCCTAACCCTCGGTTCAAACTTTCCATTCAACCTGTCTCAGGGATGAGGTGACACGAGCTCTGACTCCACAGGGTTATTATGAACACTTGGGTACCTCTCGGCCAGACGTCCTCACCACTGTTTGCCCCCAGACTGGATTAATGTAAATCCAGTCGAACAAATAATCAACAGTGAATACGATAAGACAAGACTACGTTTATAAATGCCGCAAGGAACTCCAATTAGACAAAACTCTCCTAAGAACTAGAAGGCAGATGAACTCGAGAATCAATGTAATAGGTTCCCTGTAACCAAGCTGAAGAAAAATAACTTGAAGAATTAACTGAAAGAATATTGAATACTTTCAAGAACAAAGTTAGTGCGAGTGTCTTCCTCCTACTCTACGTTTCTGTCCAGTATCATCATGTCTGAGGAATCGGATGGATTGGAAAGGTCCATTTAGATTTAATCCGTCATACGGGTCACTCTGACTTATCTGTTTAGATCTTATATCTCCTCTGGATGCTGGAGCGAAGTTTCCGACTACCGTACTTTACGATAGGACTTCTCAGAAACGAGGCTGCTTCTCTGGATGCCGGAATAGATCTTCACGTCGCCAGACTTCCCAACATTATTTCGCCAGCAGGAACAGTTTCTGGCGTTGATCGAGAACAATCACCTTGAGCTCGGAAGACGACGACTCAAGTATCGTCCACACGTTCAGGACCACAATTCACCACATGTAAATTGCTTAATGTGTAGTGGCAGAAGGAACCAGTCTACAAGACACTGACACTTGTTGGATCTTCATAACCTGAAAAACACAAAGCAACACCCATGAGCGAACCGTATCTAATGCACCTGGTCAATCAACATCCTTACCATCTCCTCATGCTCAGATAAACTTGAGGTTATTCCCAACCATGAAGGTTGGTCACCTCTATCTTAGAATCCATTTAGTTTCCTAGAGTGAGCACCAGATCATAAACTCGAAGAATTCCTGGATACAGTTCTGTAGCAAAGGTTAGACAGATCTCCATTATTTACCGTTCCCTCTAACGTAGAAAATAAGGGATCTGCGATGAAGTCCAAACCAAGACCTACTGAAATATGTTATGAAAACAATTCTACAGTCGAAGCTTGTTATGGTTACGAAATCACCTAGCAACAGCGGACATGACGTCATGTCTGCCTATAAGCTTTTTGTCGTTCAAAACAATTCAGAGACTTACCAAGTTCTGATACCGAATACCAGCAAATAATTAACGATACAAAGTTATCAATACGACAAACCCACTCCAGATATGTAGATTGATTGAATTGAAAAGGTTTAAAAGACCATTTCAAAGCATTCTGCGAGAAATGTCAACCGAAAGTGCATTCCGATCTGGAGCTCCTTTCGCCACCTTCCTTGGCAAGAATCGTAGGAAAACAGATACGCATTATCCAGCTGCTGACCTTACTTACCTACATCTCAGACACTATGAACTCAAATAATCAATTAAAAAGTCCTTAAGAAAACTCACCCATTGTAAATAAAAAAGAGAACAAGGAATCTTGTCTGTATAACGGTCAATTGGCGAGACACAAGGAAAAACGCCTGCCTCCAAGACCGGACTGTAGAGAGTGACGCACACAAACACGTCCCCTAACAACAGCAGTTAGCGTACGAATCCCGCTCACTAATGCAGTGCAGTGGTCAGACAATTTATTTAGAATAGGCGTAGAAAATGCGTCCTAACCCTCCATTCGACACTCAAAGCCTAAAAGAGTCATTATCAAAGGGTTTTATATGGATTATTCCTATCAGGACTCCCCCACAACAAACGAACTATCTAACTATGCTTGGCCTATTCTATTACATAGTTACGATGACGAGTTTAGGGTGGTCAGCTATATGGACCTTCCTGCTGTGGCAGATGTGTGGATGCGGTCATGCGACAGTCGTGAGATTATGTTTAAAAAAAAAAATGTGTAATAAGGTTTCATCTCTTTTAGTTGTGCTCCAAGTTTTAGAATCATGCAAAACAACTGGTCCTATCAGCGTTTTAGGTATTTTGACCTTGGTGTTACGAAACAGACACTTTGACTTTAGCAAATACTAGACATAGGATACGTTTAAC